TCAGTGGAGACAGAGACAGAGTTAACATCTCAAGAAGGGTCACTGAACGGGAAACGTTAACTCTGTTTCTCTCTTCGCAGATTCTGCCTGACCTGCTCTCGTTTTAGTTTCAGATTTATAGCATTTGTTTTATGTCAGTCCCATGTCCCTTTGTGCGCACTTTCTGCAGCTTTTCTCAATTTAAACACTAATGTTGACCCTTCCAAAATGAAAACATTTCTATTTTGCCACAATATAATCCACTTGCCCCCTCACTTAGTCTGTCAATCTCCCTCTCTTTCTGTAAACTCTTTGTCGCTCTCTAGCAAACTTGCCTGGGAACTCGACAGCCTTCTGGACTCAATATTGAGTTCAGCAACTTTAGGGCATGAGCTGTACCATGTCCTTACTCCAACTCCCACACTCCAGGCCTTGTTATTGCATAGTCTGCCCTTACACACAACCCATTGTTAGCCTCTAACAGTCCCCATTAATTCACCCTCCTAGCCAGATCATTATCCACTCCTTTGTCTGTCCAACAGCTCTTCTCTCTCTTTGGGCTCTATCCCCATCTATCATTAAGTCCTTACCCCCACCATGCACCCTATATTCTGCATATAAACTGACATTTTCCTAGCTACAGAAACAGAAATTACTGGAAAAGTTCAGCAGGTCTGGATGTATCTGTGGAGAGAAATCAGAGTTCCTGTTTCGGGTCAAGTGACCCTTCCTCAGAACTAACCTTTCAGAGGAAGGGTCACTGGACCCGAAATGTTAACTCTGATTTCTTTTTCCACAGATGCTGCCAGACCTGCTGAGCTTTTCCAGCAACTTCTGTTTTTGTTCCTGATTTACAGCATCCACAGTTCTTTCGATTTCTCATTTCCTCGCTACCATCAGTTCTGAGAAAGGGTCACTGAACCTGAAATGTTAACTCCACTTTTTCTCTCCACAGATGCTGCCAGAGCTGCTGAGCTTTTCCAGCAATTTCTGTAGGAGCAAATGCCTGCAGATCCTGGAATCTGTACCGAAAACAGAAAACGCTGGAAATCACAGTGGGTCAAGAAGCACCTGGATGAATACATGAATAGGAAGGGAATAGAGGGATACGGATCCTGTAAGTGAAGGCAGTTTTAATATGGAAGGGCAAAATGAGTCAGCACAGGTTTGGAGGGCCGAAGGGCCTGTTCCTGTGCTGTTTGTTCTTTCCATGTGGTGGTGCCGGTGTTAGACTGGAGTCAGAAGTCACAGGACACCAGGTGAACTTGATGAAGGAGCAGCGCTCTGAAAGTTTGTAATTTTTCAAACAAACTTGTTGGACTATAGCCTAGTGTCGTGTGATTTCTGGTATTGTTCTTTGGGTCAGGCAGCGACCGAGGAGAGAGAGCAGGCTGACGTTTCGAGTCTGGATGAGACTTCATCAGAGCATTTCTGTTTTGTTTCTTTGGCTCAGATTCAATTTGGTGCTTTAGGACCCAGGAGGAACATTATAGCTTTGCTACCGAGAAGCTCACCAAATAAGGGAAGTGACTGGGGTTAAAACCCAAGGCGGTGGAGTTAATATTCATAGGCTACGATATACATAGATTAACATCGATTAGTCAGGGGGACGCCGGAATTCGAGGCTGAGGCTAAGCCCTACCCCAGTGTAAGCAGTGGGTTTGCCTGCTTGGTTCCTCATTTCCAGTTCGCTGTCGGAGCCGGCGCGATGAGCAGCAAAGATAGCAGCCCTCAGGAGAAATACAAACTGGTGGTAGTTGGAGGTGGCGGGGTCGGCAAAAGTGCTCTCACTATTCAGTTCATTCAGGTAACTGGGCGCCACGGCAAACGCAGAGAAACAGACAGACAAACAACAGCACAAAAAGTTTGGAGAAACTTTTCAGAAAAGTTTCACATAAGTTCACTCTTTACGCCGGAGGAAACAGACCCGCCCGTGTTTGAATACTCCTGGACAGTAGTGTAATACCTAAATTAACCTTAAAGCAAAACAAGGTCTAGATAATTCAACGTATATTGATCAAGTCGATGATTTCGACTACCTGGGCAGGGGATTTAAATTTTCTCTGAAGGGTTCGCCTCTGGTAGCTGTTGTGAGCAGGGAGGGTTTTTAAAACAGTGAAAAACCCAGTTTTTGTTTTTGTATATCTGACTTTTCTGCCCCTCATTTCGAGGTGAGTTTTGATGTTTTTTTAAATTTAGGATTTGTTCTCTGATTCAGGGGTTGTGAGTGACTTTTTTATTATTTTACCTGTGGTCAGATTGGTTTGTGAAGGAGCAGGAGGATGGCTGAGTGAGGTTAATGGTTTAAATTGTTCCCCCTTTTCTCCTCATTGTGTTTGGCAAGCTGTTTTCCAATTTCTGGATGTCTTGTGCAAACTGTTGTGCTTTCTTTAGAAAAGGTACCTTTGGTAATTTTACTGAAATTGTCGCAGTGACTGATGCTTGATAATTCTGTGCAGATTTGGCTGGGTGGTATTCCATCACATTCTATTTGGCACTTAGTGGCCCAAAGTTGACCAGGCACAGGCCAGAGATGTAAAGATGTCTCTGTGACCTCTTCCCACTTTATAGTTCTACTGCATCCTTCCAATTCTGGTCTCTTGTGGATCCCTGTTTTTGTTTTCATGCAGTTTTGGTCTCCTTATATGAGGAAGGATGTTCTTGTTATAGAGGGAGTGCAGTGAAGATTTACCAAGTTGATTCCTGGGATGGTAAGATTGATGTATAAGGAGAGAGTGAGTCAGTTAGGATTATATTCACAGGAGTTTAGAAGAATGAGGTAGGGGTGTGAATCTCTCAGAAACCTGTAAAATTCCAACAGGACTAGACAGGGTAAAGGCAGGAGGGATATTCACAATGACCAGAGAGTTCAGAAACAGGGGATAAGAGGCAAATGTTTTCGGACTGCGTTGAGGAGAAATGTCTTCGCCCAGACAGTGGTGAGAGCCTGTGCCACAGAAAGCAGTTGAAGTCAAAATCTTGTGTTTTCAAGAAGGAGTGGGTATAGCTCTTGTGGCTAAAGGGATCAAGGAGGAGGGTGGGATTATGGTATTGAGCTCGATGATCAGCCATGATCGTATTGAATGGTGTAGCGGGTTTGAGGGGCTGAATCACCTACTCCTGCCTCCTATTTTCTATGTTTCTGTAATGGTGGTTTTATTTTAAGCCAGGGCTTCCCAAAATAGTAGGGCTTGGGGACTGACAAATGGGGTCATGAGCTAAAATTGTGGTGTTGTGAGCTCATTGAGCGGTAATATGTGCCATGGAGGTCTATCTGAGTTACTGATTCCACTCTCACAGGCCCCCAGTCTTTCCAGGTGGCAACAGTTCTCAAAAATAGGTTTCACGATGGGTAGAGGTTTGGTAAGCACTGATGTGTGCTCTGGAGAGCTCTCCTGCTCAATCTTGCGTGCTCTCTCTCCTTCAAAGCCTACCTGTAGCCTGACTGAGTTTATGGTTACCTGAAGCACAGGAAATCTGAAGCAAAACTAGAGAATGCTGGAGAAACTCAGTGGGTCTGGCAGCATCTGTGGAGAGAGAAGGTCACCAGTTAAGGTCTGGAGCTCAGTGACTCTTCTTCAGAGCTTGTCCTCATCTTTATGAGGCTGGGGGATCAAATTTTGCGTGATAGTCACCCCTTGTCAGGCTTTTCTTTTGCTCAGCTGAAGGCGCTAAGTAAATGCAAGCTGTTGTTGTTGCCTGAGGGGCCGCCGAATCAATTCCAGTTCGACTTCAGCATCTTCGAACCAATACACAAGCTGTCCGCTCTGTGATCCATGGAAGTGAGGGTGAGATTGAAACAACAGGGCAGCCGAAGTGATCTGTGTGACCTCTAGCAACACAGGATGTTGAGCAGCAGTTAAAAGCGAGAACGGGGCAAGTTTTTGACGTTTTTTTTTCTGGGTTGGTTGGGGGGTCCCAGGGACGTGAAGTTCTCCCCCTCCCCCTTGTTTTCATCTTTCTGAAGATGTGATTACCCTGAGTCAAGTTGCAGCAAAGCTTTTGCAAACTGTAGAATCGTTCGAAGGTAATGGTCTCCACCCGACCAGGTCCTTGCCTCATTTTCACAACCGCTGCACATTTCCTGTTTTTCTGCGTTGCTTTTTTCTTAAAAAAAAAAGTATATATTTTAAATGATAATGTGTGTACACACAGTCGGGTCAGGTTGGCTGCGACCCTTGACCTATTCAGGATCTGGGCCTGGATCCCGTTTATGGTTGGTAGAATTCCAGGGACTGGGTTTGGAGGTTAGGCTTGGGTGGGGATTCGCTGCCAGTGAGTAAACAAGGCTCCCCTGCACCTAGCTCAGGAGACAGAGCAGACGATAACTGATTGTCTCTGTCTCTGTCTGGTGTAACAAGTTGCTTGGCAAATGGTCGTGCTGCAGAATCCACCCAGCAGTGCAAGTGCAGGCTGTCTCATTTCCAGACTGATATTAACAGACTGAGCACTTTTAATCTCTCCAGCTCTGGCCATGAAAGTCTGGGGATAATAAGAAGACCAGTTACGGGAGCATATGTTTGAAGTGATTATCTGAAAATGGTGATAGTAGGATTTGGTGCTGTTCCCTCCCACTCCCCCCTCCCCCTTCCCTTTTTCCACCTCCCCCCCCTCCCTTTTCCCTCTCTCCCCCCCTCCCTTTCCCCTCTCCTCCCCCCCCCCCTTCCTTCTGCCTAGTCAGAGATGCCCTCATCCCATGAATGATTAAAGAAAAGGGTTAATTTGTATCAAATCTGCTTCATTTCTCAGCCCCTGGTTCACAGACTGACATTGGCTTCTGGATTGAACGCATTCTTAAACTTTCAACTTGTGAAATCCATTCATGGGCTTGAGCCTCTGTTTCTTCGTGATCTCTTCCAGTTTGACAACCCTCTTGAGATCTTGGGCAGCATGGTGGCTCAGTGGTTAGCACTGCTGCTTCACAGCACCAGGGACCCAGGTTCAATTCCAGCCTTGGGGAACTGTCTGTGTGGAGTTTGCACATTCTTCCTGTGTCTGCGTGGGGTTTCCTCTGGGTGCTCCAGTTTCTTCCCACAGTCCAAAGATGTGTAGTTTAGGGTGGATTGGTCACGGGAAATGCAGGGCTACAGTAATAGGATGGGATGCTGTTGGGAGGGTTGGTGCAGACTCATTGGGCCAAATGGCCTATTTCCACACTGTAGAGACTCTATGGTCTCTGTGCCCTATTGATTTTGCATCTCTTTGTTCCCAAATTTTAATGAGCTGACCACTTGCCTTTTGTTGCCTTGGTCCTAAGCTCTGGAATTACTTCCATTAATCCTTCCGTCCCGCTCACACTCTCCTTAGAACCTATGTCTTTTGTTTGCCTGTCCTAATACTGCCTCCTGTGGCTCATTGTTGGCTTTCATCTAATAATCGCTCCTTTGCAGTATTCATTATCCATTTATGATTAAACAAAATATCTTTGTTAGTTGCGAGAGGCAGGTTACTGGTGTCAGCGATGTTGAGTTGGTCGTTTGCGAGTTGTTTCTTCATTGGCGGTGCCTCTGGGTTGGCGATGACTTTCTTCCCTCCAGGGGGGATATGGTTTCTGGGGTCGTTGAACCATCTAATCCTGGGGGAGCAGACTCTGCCCCATGTGGGGGCAAATGGTGTGTGAGGAGGTGGGTGAGACTCTCTGGATATTGCAGGTTCTTCTGTTGTTTGCATTCGCCCTCACCGTGCTCCACTAGACGCATAAAGTACCTTTGCGGATGTTTCTTCTCCAGTTTGCGTGTTCCAGGGGTAAGCCATTATCCCCATTTCAGTGAGGATGTTGTATTTGTTGAGGGAGATTTCCAGAGTGTCATTGTAGCATTTCCTGTGCCCTCCTAGTGATCCTGTTTGCAAGTGTGAGGTAGTTGAAGTGTGACGAGGGTCATTTTTTTTGTGGGAAACCCTGATAATTTACCCAGGAATTTCTATTCAACATGTCGTCGTGGCTGACCTGACTACTGCACTCATTTTTCAGTCTCCCCAAATGAGTTGCTTGTTCAGTCCTCTCTCTCTCTCTCAAACCTGAACAGCGAAGGATTAAAAACAAAAACAGAAATTGCTTGAAAAGCTCAGCAGGTCTGGCAGCATCTGTGGAGAAAGAAACATTTAACTTTTCCAGTCTGGTATGGCTTTTCTTCATGTCTCCTGACTCGGTTGTGTAGAAGAGTCATACCAGACTCAACGTGAAGTCTATTTTCTCTCTCTCCACAGAAACTGCCAGACCTGTTGAGTTTCTGCAGCACTTTCTCTGTTTATTGCAGATTTCCAGCAGCTGCAGTATTTTGCTTTTACCAAAATGTTTCAGCTGTTCTTTGTCTGGTCCATGGCGGATCTTCTTTCGTTCTTTATTCCATGTTTACTGTACCTCAGTTCCAGGATCCTTTGTCACAGTGGTATCGCCCTGCCTCTGAGCTGGAAGGTCTAGTTTTCAAATCCCACCTGTCCAAGACACATGCCATAACACATCCGAATAGGTTAATTATGACTATCTACGCCTGTCTGTGCTTCACTTATTGTGTGAGGACTGTGTGGTGGGGTATAATATGGCTTTGTTCAGTTGTAAAACTATCTATCTATCTCTGCTACTGCCCTTGAGTCTCACTGCTTTCGTACAGGCTGTCATAGAGTGATAGAGATGACCAGCATGGAAACAGACCCTTCGCTCCAACTCGTCCATGCTGACCTGATACCCTGAACTAATCTAGTCCCATTTGCCTGCATTTGGCCCATATCCCTCTAAACTCTTCCTATTCACACACCCTCCAGATGCCTTTTAAATGTTGTAATTGTACCAGCCTCCACCACTTCCTC